ATACATGTTAAACTAAATTTGACTTTAAAAAAAGAAAAACGTGATAAGTGAAAATGAAGAAAGGGAAGTAATACTGAGTTAATTCGATCCTATCTAAACTCTATAGGTTGGCTAATTTAAGTAACGTGTCGAAAAATTGTCCACAATTTTTCTTTTTCCATTTGTTATTTATTTTATTTTATTACAAAGTTTATAAAAATCAATTAAAGTTTTCACTAGCCAATAGATTGCATCACATGAGGCCTGAGATTTGAGAATTGTGGTCAATGATAAGTCAAATAACCCCTCAACCTATTATCGGATTTTCAACTACACATCTATTCTCCGCTGGAGTTCTATTACCCCCCTGAACTACTTTAAAATGGAATAAATAATCCCTTAAATGCTGAGTTGACATGGAGAGTGTATTTCACTCTCTTTGAGAGAGTGAATTGCCTATTATTATTTTTTTAATTTCCGTTTTTTTTCTAATTTTCTTTTTTCTTTCTCTTTCTCTTTATTTATCTATACAACATTTTTCACCATTATCATTGTTGAAGCTTTTTCGATGGATGTTTGAAATAAAAATTAGGGCAAAGGGTCAAAAATACCCCTCAACTTTGGTTTATTGTTTAACTTTACCCTCGCCATTAAAATGAAGTTAATTTTATCCCTTCCGTTACTAATTTCACCAAATTTGCCCCTCATTAGACGGAATTTCCAAAATTGACCCGAATTTTAAAAAAAAACCCTATTCCCTATTTTAACCTAATGACCCGACCCCATTTAGAATAACCCGATTAACCCTATTTTACCCATTCTCTCAATTTTCCTTTACCCATTTACCCATTCTCTCTTTGAATAGATAATCTCTTTTTCTCCCAAATTTCCCATTGTTTTTCCTGCCACTCTCTTTCGTTCACCTCTGATTTTTCTTCTTAGAAAATGTCACAAAATAGTTATTCGTCTCAAAGAAAATGTGCTTGTGGTTTGGTGGTCAAAACACTGATTCTATTCCCTCTTGCTTATTTATAAATGGATATTACCAATTATCTAAATATTGTAAATTGCCACAAATTATTCGATCAAAACAAAAATAAAAAATCATATAGCTAACTATAGAGAATTAAGAAGTAAAAATAGTTTAAAAAACGAACACCAAACAAAGTACAACAATGATATTGTTGGAGTCCTAATCTCACAAAATCAGTGTAAAATGGTAAATTAATGTCCAAAAATGAAATAAATAGTTCAAAAGCTCAACAAATACGCCATAGGATGTGAATTTTATCGAAAAAATAAAGCCTAATGCAGGAAAAATTACGAATCCGGTCTGATCCGGAGTAAAATGGTGATCGGGGATTTCCCGTTTTACCAGAGTTGACATAGAGCAGAAGCAATGTCTGAGAGCTTGAAGCTCGTTGCTGGAGATAACGGGGAAAGGAGAAGAGAAGCAGCGACGTTGGTTTGGAACGGAACTCCGATTCATCGGATCTTAAAGCTCACAGTTTTGCCGGAGATGGGGGTTGTTAAGTCTGATTGTTGGATGTTGTCTTCCGGTGATGGAGGTTTTGGAGGTCATCAATGTTGACTGGAACGATTAACAAACAATATAAAGAAAACCCATAAAAAGGGAAGATGGGAAGGGGGCTGGCAGCGTGCTCCGATAGTTGGAGTTGTGGCTCCTATTCGCCATTAATGACTTTGTTGTGCGAGCTCAAAGCTGGCACAACTATTTTGTGACATATTCTAAATGGGGTCGGGTCGTTGGGTTAAAATAAGGAATAGGGTTTTTTTTTTTAAATTCGGGTCAATTTGAGTCAATTTTGGGGATTCTGTCTAATGAGGGATAAATTTGGTGAAATTAGTAACGAGAAGGGTAAAATTAACTTCATTTTAACGGCGAGGGTAAAGTCAAACAATAAACCAAAGTTAAGGAGTATTTTTGACCCTAACAATGCATTTAACGAATAAATAATTTTTCAATAAACTTATTTAGAACATATCTAACAAATTAAATTTATTTTAAAAAAAAAACATACCCATTAATTATTATTTTTTAAAGCGATAGATTCAAGAGTAACAAAATCAAAGTGAAGTAATTGTATATTTAAAAATATTTTCAAACTTAATAAAAGAAACTAAAACAAAACAATTTCTTCTACATTTTGAAAGAAGGATCCTACATGTTCTCCTAAAATCCATGACGAATCAAAATCAAATACTCAAATTATAAATTAATCATGAAAACTTTAGAGGAAGAAATAATAGAGAATGGGGAAGAGAGAGAGAAGTTTCTCAAATTGGTGTTACAAATTAGTCTTTTCATCCGTGATTATTTTGAGTTGTCGGCGGAATCTTCAAGGGATGAATCTGATCTTGAATGTTCATAACCTATTTAATGTGTATCTGAAATTGTCTAAGGAAAAAAATCGAACGAAATATAAAAAAATGTGGAAAATTATTGAATTAGTTGGATGAAAGATTTGATTAATTAGGATCGCTATTTTCTAGACTCTAGAGATTCGGAGTAGATGAAAAGGTGAGTTGAATTTTTGTTTTAATAAAATATTAGAGATATAGAAGTTTATTGAGGTAAAAATGGTGTTTAGTATAGTTAGGGTTGAAAAAATGATTGAGGAAGAAAGAAAGAGGAAGGAGGAGAACTTTTTTAAAAAAATAATCATTAAATGGTGAATTACACATGTCAAGTGCGTGTATTTCACCACAAGACAGATGTTTGGTAATGACATTTCAGGGAAGAAATAATTCCACTTTAAATTAGCTCAGGAGGGTAATAGGATTCCCGTGAAATATAAGTGTGTAGTTGGAAATTTGATTATAGATTGGAGGGTCATTTGGCCATTTTCTCTATTCCCTAATTTATTTATTCTCTTTTAATTCGGACTTCTGCATTATTCCTGACATATGAAGAAAACTACACCAAAAAAATAAATTTTAAAATAATATATTCATTTTTGACGAATATATCTATATTGTATCTTCAACTTATGACATTAACACCTTACTTATTACTACTATTATATATATATATATATATATATAAATAATAATAAATCATGACATTAATGTTGATGCTATTCAAATACTGTCTTATAAATAATTAACAATTAAATGAGTTACTATTCCTATTTTAATAAATACGCAAGTACTATTCTTATTCTAATACACTTTATTGGAATTTTAGGTTAATCCGCAATTGCTACCACCTTTACCACAACAAATTTAACTATCAAATATAACTTTACCAAAACTAATATCGATATTTAATACAGTCTATTTAATACTATAATTACAAGCTTAACCAAACAACCGAAAGAATTGAAGTATAATCTTGCATGTGATATTTGACAATTAAAGGCCAACAATAACTACCATAATTAAAGGCCAACAATAACTAATTATATACCCTGCGTGCACCAATCAATCAACTCAGCTAATTAATTAATTAAACTGATCATTAATTTGTGTTAGGCATAACATAATATTTCCTCTATTCCATATTAATTAAATTTTTGAGACTTTTTTCATTTTTCAAAACAATTGAATTGTTTAAAGTTCAAGATAGATGTTTGAATTTTTTTCCATATTTGCCCTTACCTAACGAAATTTGATAGTTTTTAGGAAACAAATTACACTACTTATAAGCTTACATTTATGATTTTACAAAGCATAATAGTGGAAAGTATGATTTAAAGTATGTCCTTAAATATTTTTCTTGATGAGTGTTCATTGCCTCACAAAATCCAGTTAATATGAAACAAAGGAATATCATTTTTCAACATAACTTTTTCCAAAAGAGAACATATGAATTATTTTCTGAAGAATTAACAATTGAATAGTACTGTCAACAACATGGATGGTGTTTTGCGTTGAAGACTTGCTGATAATAACGTCTTAACTGTCAATTGGAGCAATATTGGTGGGGTAAAATTGAAATATCTGCAAAGGAAAATGTTATCCACACATAAGTGATGAGAAATTTTGTGGATAACCCAACGACGAAAACATGACTTTATTATGTAAAATGTTTTCCTTCAAACCAAATACATAATTAACATTTTAAAAGACATTAAAAATTAGGTTATAATAAGCTATTTTGGATAGCAAATATTTCACAGAATTAGTCGAGGAGGTGCGTATAAATTGGCTCGAATATCATTATTATAAAAAAAACAATAAACAAAGTCGCATAACTTCTTCACAATGAGAAAACATAACATGTTTGAAGTTATGTCATTCGTATAGTGCCGAAATCATGATTTTCATTAATATATTAAAAATATAAAGAAATATATATATAAAAAAGTTAAGGGGTATATTGACATAAATAATAGTTTTAACCTTGTATAGATATATAATTTTGAACTACTTGTCAATCTATCTTTGCACAATTTACTTGAACAAGGACAAAAATTATATATCAACCTAAAATAATCCATACTTGTGTAAACCTCCCAACAAAATCACATGAACCTTTTGAAAAAAGAAACCCAAAGTACCAAACCAATAGCAATCACATGGACCTGCTTTAGATAATGGAAAAACTATATGAATACACAACTTAAAATATCATAATCTCTAAACTTCCTTGTCATTTAAAAATATTACAAAAAATACCTCTCGGATACATCCCTATCCCCTCTCGGATATGTTCCTATCCCTTCTCGAATATATCCCTCTCATTAAGTAATGTATCATTTGCAATGTATCGAACAACCAATGAATGTATCTTAGAGCAATGAGAAATCCAATTTTTTTGTAATCGGGAAAACTTTTGGGATATGATATAATTAGCTCCCAAATGTATGAGATTTCTGTACTTTCCCAAAGTACCAAATTTCTAAAATCACATGGACCTTCTTTAGATAGTCCAATGGGCTCAGCCCATAAGTATCCACATCAAATTTAACAGGCCCTTTCATCTTAAAAAGCCCAGGCCCAAATGATTTCGGATTCAGGCCCACTATTCTAAGAACAGTACTCTGAGATTCCCACCAACTGTTCGATCAGCATTTTGAGCAAAAGACAACTTTAACTTCACGCAAAAAAGATTTGATTTTTAACGACACCCATCTCCTATTTTTGTGAAATTCAAGAATATTAAGGTGTTTCAATGGAGGGGTTGATGAGTTTTCAGGCGAATTCTGTTCATGCTTTATCAAGACGGCAAAGCTCGGTACTAGTTCCTACATTTTCTCGAAAAAATAGTAATACAAGAGTTTCTGTTCAACCAATTGGAATGGTGAGGAATTCCAAATCGTTTAATTCCGTTGTTGCTTCAGTTCAGCCAATTGAAGCATCTGCTGTAACCCCTTTTGACAACACATTGCCATCTAAAGGTAAACATCAGGATCTGAGATTGTTCTTGGTAGGGCTAGTAAACTAAAAATTTGAATCTTGTTTTCTAAACTAGATGAGGCTAATCTGTTGTGTTTTGTTATAGATTGGTTTTTTTGTGAATATTTATAATCATGCTTGTAAAGTGAAATGAACCCGAGTAGAGCTGAACTTATATGGAGGATTCATGTAGCTGACCCCGACTAATTTGGGATTTTGACTATGTTGATTGATTGATACTTGTAAAACGGAACACGGGATAGGTTAAACTATAGACGGAATTGGTTGTAGTACTGTGGCTGACTGATGGTGTTTTGAATCTTGTTAGAGGTTCTTGATGTTTGGAATAATGCGAATGCTGTATGCTTTGATGTGGATAGCACTGTGTGCATAGACGAGGGCATTGATGAATTTGCGGAGTTTTGTGGTGCTGGAAAGGCTGTAGCGCAATGGACTGCTAGGTTAGCTGCTTTTCTGAATAATGGTTCTAATATAATGTTAAATGCCTTAGGATTGAATTCATATCCTATTTATCTTGTCTTTGACAGGGCAATGAATGGCTCTGTTCCATTTGAAGAAGCATTGGCAGCTCGTCTTTCTCTTATAAACCCGTCATTATCCCAACTCCAGGATTTTCTTAAGAGACCTCCACGGTAACAATGTGCCTTTGATCACCTATGCATATAAGGTTTTCCATTTCTGTGAATTATTATTACAAGTTTACTAAGATGAAAGACAAAGAAGTATTGTGTCACTCAAATTTAATCCCTTTATGGAAAATTGAGGTTAGATATAAAGATGAATCTGCTATTGGCCTTTCATTTAGGGATCATGATCATAACTGCCAACCTAGTTGATTTAAAGCTTTTGATTAGTCATGCTATATGGTCACGGATATCAGTTTCTTTCTTCCATTTGAATTCTTAAAATCCTTTTTGTGTTGATGGTCAGATGTTATAGCTCTCTGGTTAAATGAATCATGATTCAGGTTCTCGAAACAAATTGCAGGCATGTCATAATTGGTGCCAAAAATAGCGGTTAATAATTTCTACGAAGCAACCAATACATTTGGAAGCAGTTTGATATAATTTAAAATGCTAGTGTTTCTTTCATAACCTTTGGAAGCTGTAGCCTCTTCGGTAGTTCAGATGGCAATAGTAGTAGTATTAAACAGTAAACACTCAACCACCCCAATTCTTTTAGGATCTTTAAGGGATTAGCAGATTTTAAGAGAGACCTAGTCAACAGATGAAGAAGTTCATCAGGTCAAAAGACCTAATTGTATGTCAAAGTCGAAAGCAAATAATTGTTACAGTTAATTGGTTCCGAACTTCATTACTTTTATTCCTTGAACCATCTGTTAATTTGTGAAAATAACAAAGACATACAGTTTTGTGTAATCAACTTTCAACATGTTCACTTAGCTAGCCTGTGCCTCTCTACTTACTATGATCTCGTAATATAGAAAATGCTAATGGCAATTCCAGAAAATTTATAAATTTTCAAGTGAAAAGACAATTTCTTTTAGATAACAAAGGGATTCAAAGGTATCTGGACTAAATCTGTCAATGTCCTTAAAATTTCTACTAAACAAATCAACTTTTATCTGGTGTTGCTTTGAAGCTATCTGATTGCTTACTTTAGTCAGCTTAAGTTGCTGAAATCTTTTCTGTTTTTTCTTGGTGCAGACTTTCTCCTGGTATTGATCTATTGGTCAAGAAGCTGAAGGATAATAATAAAGATGTTTATCTGGTCTCTGGAGGGTTTCGTCAAATGATCAATGTACTTCCCTTGTTGAACTGTTTAGTTTACGGTTAGTTTTATTTGTCTATCTTGCATTCTTGCATCCATATAAACATATCAAGGATAAACATCTTGTAACCATTAAGAAATTTCGAAGTATTCTGTGTGAGGTTCGAGCTTCTTTCTTGAGATTCTCCTATTCTTGAATCCTGAGTACTATTGGTAATTTCCAAACTTCAACTTGCAAAAATGCTTTACGGAAGGGTGGCAGTTAAACTTTTTGGTCATGTTCTAGTGTAAATGCTGCCATATGTAAGAATAGATTCCTTTCGAGAAAAATGGCTACCTTAATTAGTCTTCATACTATCTCCCTCTCCTATGTGTCACCTTTTAATTCTGCTTATCTGCAATTTAGTGTATTGTATATATATTTGCTAACTATAATTCTTTCTTAAAGCCTGTTGCATCAATCCTTGGAATACCACTTGAAAATATCTTTGCCAATCAAATACTCTTTGGGAGCAATGGAGAATATGCTGGGTTTGATAAAAACGAGCCAACTTCAAGGCGTGGCGGAAAGGCTACTGCAGTTCAACAAATAAGAAAGGTTGGTGTTGGAACTGTTGGTGATATAGTTGTTTATTTTAACATACTTTTTGAAGATGCTCATAAAGCTAAGCAATGTTCCAGGCTCATGGATACAAGTCACTAGTGATGATTGGTGATGGTGCTACTGATCTTGAAGTAAGTAACCAATATCCTTGTTTCCCGTTTAACCACCAACTCTGATTGCCCAAGTGAATGAAAAAAAAGACGATCACTGTTGTCTTCGTTTGAAATCTGCAAACACAAAGTCTGCAACTCAGTTTCTTCTTTGTTGTTGCAAATTCTGTTAACATGTTTGCTCTCCATTTTTTGTTGCAGGCTCGTATGCCAGGTGGTGCGGACTTGTTTATTTGCTATGGCGGAATTCAACTACGAGAATCAGTTGCAGCTAAAGCTGATTGGTTGGTGTTTAATTTTAAGGACTTGATTAATTCATTGGTGTAATGTGCTATTGCATCTACACTCTTTCATCTTTATTTGGTTTTCGGGGCTTATGCAGAGCATTAAATTTCTGTCTTGATGTCATTACGTTTTGTAGATATCTTTCCACACTACGTAATGGAAAGGTAGCACAAAAATACCTTATCTCAGAAACTGAAAGTTCATATTGATTGGAAGCTTAGCGCTTGTTTTACCTTGCCACTTCTCCTATCCCTTTATTTTCGATCTTATCTCTTGATATGCAGCAAATGTTTGGTTGAAACATCTCAAGAGTTTGTGGGGAACTGAAATTATAGGATGCTTACATCAAGATTAAGCATTTTAGTTTGTTTTAGCTTTCAAGTTATATCAAAAGAAACCATCATTAACCTGCAACATCTCGAAATTCTTATGTTCACTCTTAAAGTGCTGATTAAATTAGGTACTTGTAGTCTCTTGTACAACTCTTAAGAATAATCAGGCACAATATGTACGACTTGCTCAAATAGTTTTGAGACTGAGATTGGTTGAATAATTAACCTGTTTACTTAGTCTTAAAATTTAAAGTTTTGATTTGAAAATGAAGGAGAAGAAAATAATTGAACTGATTGCAGAATGGCACCAGAAATACTATTAGTAATACATATTTTCACATATAGAGTACTCGAGGGAAATACATCAAACAGGTCATAACAAACTAGGAAAACGACTCAGCATAAGACACAGGCAGAAAATAAAATAAAAACTCAAAATCTTCAACAGTACACACTTTACTTAATACTACAGGTTTTTGTTCCCAGCTAAAGGGTTTAACCAGAGATGTCAATGGACTTGACCTCAGGTTTCTTCACCTCTTCCTTTGGAACAGTTACAGTAAGCACTCCATTCTCCATAGAAGCCTTAACTTGATCCATCTTTGCATTCTCCGGAAGTCTAAATCTCCTCATGAATTTCCCACTGCTGCGTTCCACACGATGCCACTTATCATTCTTATCTTCTTTCTCCACGTTCCTCTCTCCGCTGATTTGAAGAACCCTATCTTCTTCGACTTCCACTTTTACTTCCTCCTTCTTAAGCCCTGGAAGATCAGCCTTGAACACATGAGCCTCTGGAGTTTCCTTCCAGTCTATTCGCGTGTTAGCAAATGCAGAGGTCTCCCCTGAATTGGTACCTGGGAAACCTAATTCCCTGAATGAATCAAACACGTCAATTGAGAATGGATCGAACATGCTACTGCTTCGTCGATCGCCAAAGATTCTTGGGATCAGAGACATTTTCAGTGAGTTTTTTGAGAACTTTCTGTGTTTTTTTAGTTGCTTGCTTTCAATTTTGATGGTTGATGGAAGAGGAGGTGGTAGTTATTTATAGCGAGTGTTTTAGCACTTTCTCCATAGTTCTACTATCCACTGAGACATTCTAGCGCCAAGTAGATATTCCAGAAGCAGATGTCGAGAACTTTCTGGATAAAAATCACTCTAGGCCCATCACAACTGAACTATCGAAATTGGGCTTCTTTCAGTCGGCTCAATTCAACCAGCTTTGTTCTTTACAACGGCCCACAATCAGTTATTTTCTGCGGATCCTAAGATAATATGAACTATAAAGTCCAAATAATAGTTAAACAAAAAGCCATATCCAAATTTTGAAGTGGAAAACACAGTCCAAGGTCACATAAAAACAGAATTAGCCTCACTTCTTTATTCAAAAGGGCTTTTCTATTAGATAGATATATTAATTAATTCATCTCAAAATCTCATATTGTAATGAAAACAATTAAATATACCATTCATAATAATTATATCAAAGTTAAAAATACAAATATATTTAATCATTTAGAGTATATATTTTAAACTCCTGCTATCATCACTTTGATGTTTGTCTAATTTTCATCTATAATAGCGAATTGTAACTTTTTATTTATATTATTCCGGCAATTAATTTTTTGTACAATCTTGTTATTTTATAATGGAAGACACACATGAATATAAAATTTATTTTTATTAACAACCATTCCATAAATAATATTCCTATGTCAAAACAATAATACTATGTCACATAATTAACCGTATCTGTGCTTAGTATATTCTAATGGCATCTCCAACCCAAACATCAAATTTTATGACACCAAATTTGGTGTAATCAACTCCAACCCACTGCATCAAATTTTTTTTTCTCTTCATTATTATATTATTATTTCTTATTTCATAAAACAAATTCTTTCTAAAACAATCATCATATATAATTCATATTATTTCCTTTTATAATCGTTTAATATAAAATTATTTTATACCATAATTTTTTAAATAATATAAATTGCTAGCAAATATTATACATTATACATAATAATGGATAATACAAATAAAAGTGAAATCATTAATGAAATACAATTAAAAAAACATCAACTTTCAAGATCACTACGGTGCTCCCATAAATGCTCTATTAATGCATTACGTATTTCAAAATGAGCTTCTTTGTCCTTTATTTTTTTATTTCAAGCTAGAAATTGTTGAAATTGATAATTTTTTGCCATTTCTACGGTCGGAGTTGGACCTTCCGACGCATCTTGAATTGGTGCATTAAGATCACGTTCATCCTCAATTATCATGTTGTGCATTATAATACATGAAGTTAATATATCATGTAACACTTCTTTTCTCCAAAAACGTGACAGTCCTGCGATAATTGCAAAACGAGATTGCAAAACTCCAAATGCATGTTCAACATCTTTTTGACATGATTCTTGTTTCATGGCAAAATATTTTTGTGAAGGTTAATTATAGTTTATATAATTTATAGTAGAATTAACATAAATTTAATTTTTTTAAAAGTCATATATAGAAAAATTAATTTATATAAAAGCTAAATTTTATATCTAAAATTAATATTATAAAAATATTACATAAAAAATAATTAAATATACAAGAGATTTAATTAAAATATACAATTTATATAATGTTTAATTAAAAGTTTGTATAATGAAATAATATTATAATATTCAAAAAGTTATTTGGTGTGATGAATAGTGTTACTAAATTTGGTGTAACACTATTCACACACCAAATTTAGTGTGAAAATTGGTATGGGTTGAAGCTCAAAGCACCAAATTTTACACCAAATATAGGATTTGATGTAAAATTTAGTGTTTGGTTGGAGATGGTCTAATGAATAGGTCACTTTACGATTTTTTTTTGTAGCAAAATCTATACTTATGATTTGTACTAAAAACTCTACTTAAAATCTTGCTCCTATAAAATCACTTAATCATTAAAAACATCTGACGGACAAATAATTATTTTTTTACGTCAAGTATCAACGAACTTGACACAATTATTAATTCTCTTTTATAGTACTTCTGGTATTTACTCCCTCCGTTTTAATTTACGTCTATTTGACTTAATAGAGATTTTTCAGAAAAGTTCCTTCAAATTATTGTCAGTTATATAAAGATGTCAATTTTTTAAAACTGAAGTAGTCAGTAAGCACAGAGGTCGCAAACCTTGATTGCTTAGTAGTATGTAGTTAACTGTTTGTCATTTGGAGATGGAATTCAAATTTGAAGTTGATGAATTTATAGTTCATTTTAATTACTAGATTTACGAATAAAATATTTGTACATATTTAATCGTAGTAAAGATTATGCAATAGTAATTTATATTTTAGAGAAGATGAATGAAATATGTTTATTATCGCAAAGAGGAATTCTAAACAGAATCAAAAGGACTAGTATTTCATATTGAACTTAGAAACAGAGGCAACTCAACACTTGAATACAGAGACACAACAACTGATTATTTGCTCATACAGCATATACTACCACTTAATTCACAAATGAATTTTTAACCAGATATTTCAATAGACTTAACATCAGGCTTCTTCATTTCTTCCTTTGGAACAGTGACAGTAAGCACTCCATTCTCCATAGACGCCTTAACTTGATCCATCTTTGCGTTCTCCGGAAGTCTGAATCTTCTACTGAATTTGCCGCTGCTTCGTTCCACACGATGCCACTTATCATTCTTATCTTCTTTCTCCACATTCCTCTCTCCGCTGATTTGAAGAACCCTATCTTCTTCGATCTCCACCTTCACTTCCTCCTTCTTAAGCCCTGGAAGATCAGCCTTGAACACATGAGCTTCTGGGGTTTCCTTCCAATCAATTCGAGTGTTAGCAAATGTAGAGGTCTCCCCTGAATTGTTACCTGGGAAGCCTAATTCCCTAAATGGATCAAACATGTCAATTGAGAATGGATCAAACATGCTGCTGCTACGTCGATCGCCGAAGATTCTTGGGATCAGAGACATTTTCAGTGAGCTTTTTGAGAAATTTCTGTGTTTGCTTTTCTGTTTGGTTTTCAATTTTGATGGTTGATTGAAGAGGAGCTCATAGTTATTTATAGTTTGTTAGAGGAACTTTCTCCATACTATCCCCGAGACATTTCTAGAGCCCAGTAGATGTTCCAGAAGCAGAAAGTCGAGATCTTTCTGGATAAATCACGCTAGGCCCATTACAGATCACAACTGAGCTATGGAAATTGGGCTTCCACTGGCCCAAGGACTGTTTTTTACAACGGCCCATTAACTTTGTTTGCTTTACGAGGAGGGCTAAATATTACACAAGTAGCACGATCACCACTCATATCATGGACAACGTTTTAAAAGATGGAGGTGAAAAAATTAAAGTAAATGTGTGCTATTCTTGTAACGACGAAAGCATTTGCTATAGTTAATATAAACTTTGGACAAAATGCAAATATAGCCTTATTTGCAAATCAGAAGGACATTTTTGGACCTTATAAGTAACCTAACACTCTCAATTATTTCAGAAAAATCTAAGGTTCAATAAAGTAAGTAGTAAACCAACCAACAAGAGTTGATTGAGTGGTAAATACTCCTTCATCATTAATCAAGAGGTGTTTGGTTCGAGTTTCCTTGGGTACAGAGTCGTCTTTGTTAGAGAGTGTTTTGATTAAAAAAAAAAGTAAGTACTAAAACATAGTAAAAGTGTTGTATCTTAATGTATAATATAATTAGCTTACTAGGTTTCTTAGTCCACTTTTTAATTATTTCTTAAGAAGAAAAACTTCATTCTTTTAAATTACTGGAATTTTCGATTAAATATTTTACAAAAAGAAAACAAACCAAAAAAATTAAAAAAGTATGTCTTTACGCCTTAGGTGGTGGAAATATCAAACCAAAATAAAATATGCCATTTTATGGAATTTGAATTCCTCATTCAACTTCATTGAAGTTTCCAAGAACTTTCACAAACATAAATAAAAACTGAAAAAATTTGACTGCATCACACTCATGATTTCTTACCAAAGATCATAAGATAATATAAAGTCCTAACAATTTTAGTTAAACAAAAAAACCACATCTAAGTTGAAAAGAGAAATGGAAGTGGAAAAACAAAAATCAAGTAGAATTGTACTAGTCCCTTGTCCATTTCAAGGTCACATAAACCCAATGTTTGAATTAGCCTCACTTTTTTACTCAAAGGGCTTTTCTATCACAATTGCTCACACCCAATTTAACTTTCCAAATCCATCAAATCATCCTTGTTTCTCTTTTCTTCCTATACCAGATGATCCCTCTCAAGTTCAAGCCTCTTCTTCTAATTTTATAGCATTATTGCTAGCTCTTAATGATAATATTGCGATGCCTCTTCGAGAGATATTGGTTCATCAACAACAACAAAGTGATGAGATTTTGTGCATTATTTATGATTCTATTATGTATAAAGTAGCAGAGGTGGCTAACAATCTTAATATTCCTAGTGTCATTTTGGAAACTAGCAGTGCTAACCTTTTTTGGACTTATGCTGCTTTTCACAGACTTGAAGCTGAAGGTTATTTTCCGTTAAAAGGTATCCTTAATTCACTTGGCCTGTAATAGCGGAGGCAGAATTTTTATCAAAAGAGTTTGTGATGTGCTTTAACAAAAAAAAATTAACCTTAAATATACCGTGCAACTTGTAATTGATACTGCTGTGAAGGACTGACCATTGTTCTTTCTATGTTTCAACAGACTCAATTGCCGAAGACTTAGTGCCTGGACTTGATCCACTCAGGTTCAAAGATCTTCCCATCTTCAATTTCCCAAATGTTGATGATTTGTTACATTTGATTAGGACAACATCAGACATCAGAACATCTTCAGCCATAATCTGGAACACAACAGAGTGTCTTGAACAACCAATCCTAGAAAAACTCAAACAACATTACCAGATCCCATGTTTTCCAGTAGGTCCAATGCACAAATCCATTAAGAATATTATTACTAATAGTTCCTTAACAACAGAAGACAGAAATTGCATAACGTGGCTAGATAAGCAAGTTGCAAAGTCCGTCCTCTATGTCAGCATTGGAAGTTTAGCTTCAATTACTGAAAGAGAAGTAACAGAAATAGCTTGGGGATTAGTGAATAGTAATCAGCATTTTTTGTGGGTACGTAATTCGATCCGGTTCAATTACTGGAAGTGATTTGAAATTAGTATTCCATGATAAAAGTTTGAAAGAGGCTATCGATAAAAGAGGTTATATTGTGGAATGGGCACCACAAAAGGAAGTATTGGGACATTTTGCAATCGGAGGTTTTTTGAGTCATTGTGGATGGAATTCGACTCTGGAGAGTATTTGCGAAGGGGTTCCATTGATATGTAGGCCTTGTTTTGGGGATCAAAATGTGAATTCGAGGTACGCGAGTTATGTTTGGAAGGTGGGGATTGTGTTGGAGAATGAGTTGGAGAGAGGGGAAATTGAAAGAGTTGTGAGGAAACTAATGGTGAGTGATGAAGGGGAGCAGATTAGGCAAAGAGCTATAGATTTTAAATTGGAAATGGAGAATAGTGTTGCTGAAAATGGTACTTATTATAAGTGCTTGATGCTTTGGTGAAGTTTCCTTTGTCACTTTGATAGCAAAGACACATGCACTTGCGTGACACTTATAATAATGTGTGTTTTAGTATGTCCGTAAAGAACTGCTCTTCGTTAAGTAAGGTGATGGTGCCGTAATTTATTTATTTATTTTCTTTCCTGGCTAGTAACTTCGAAAAAAGAAATGCAATATGTACGTTTACATCATTTTTACTTATAATCTGGAAACTGTTGCTCATAATTACTTTACTACTCCCTCTGTTTCAATTTATATGACACATTTCGAATTTCAAGATTCAAACAATTTTATTTTTTACCGTAATTTTTTCTTATATCTTTTAAATATTTTTAAATTATTAATTATTGAGACTTATAGTACTTTTTATATAGTTTACAAATATATAAATGTCATTTGTAAAAAATTGAAAATTTCATGAACAAATTATCGATCAAACTTAAACTGTTTGACTCTCAAAAAATGAAGTGTGACACATGAATTGAAACATAAAGCGTATTTTTTTGTTAAAACTCAAGTGAAGAAGCTTCAAGGAGAGAAAAAAAAAAGATGTCACGTCATTTTTTAAAGAATGATCTGAATGTTATAGCTATACAATGCAAAATACATTTCTCGAGGTGAGGCCTCTAACTCTATTACTGGGCCAGTGTGAAGACCTTGTAATAGACCAGGATGGAATTGGGCCGCTAAATCCTCTGTAACATAGCTCACTCTTGAAACGGGCCAACGAGATTTCTCCAGAAACATCTCGCAATCTACACATCGAGAAATATCCAGAAAGTTTTGGAAGAAGAGAAAAACGACATATCGAGAAAGTACTTGACACTCGTGTAAGAAGCTATAAATAACTAACCAGGTTCTCTTCCATTAACCATCAAAATTGAAAAAACAAGCAAAAACACAAATTTCTCAAAAGCTCACTGAAAATGTCACTGATCCCAAGAATCTTCGGCGATCGACGAAGCAGCAGCATGTTTGATCCATTCTCAATGGACGTGTTCGATTCGTTCAAGGAATTAGGCTTCCCAGTTTCCAACTCAGGGGAGACCTCTGCATTTGCGAATACTCGAGTCGACTGGAAGGAAACTCCAGAAGCTCATGTGTTCAAGGCCGATCTTCCAGGCCTTAAGAAGGAGGAAGTGAAAGTGGAGATCGAAGAAGATAGGGTTCTTCAAATTAGCGGAGAGAGGAATGTGGAGAAAGAAGATAAGAATGATAAGTGGCATCGCGTGGAACGCAGCAGTGGGAAATTCATGAGAAGATTTAGACTTCCGGAGAATGCGAAGATGGATCAAGTTAAGGCTTCGATGGAGAATGGAGTGCTTACTGTTACTGTTCCAAAGGAACAAGTGAAGAAGCCTGATGTCAAGTCCATTGAGATCTCTGGTTAAAAGTCCATTTGTGAATTAAGTAGTAGTGTATGATATATGGGCAAATAAAGAACTGAATCCGTTGTGTCTGTTGAAGATTTGAAGTTACTCTGTTTTTCTATTGAAGTGTTGAGTCGGCTCTGTTTCTAGCCTAATGGCGTAATTGTACTTTCTTTGAAATTCCATGTTTAATATGAAATATTAGTCCTTTGATTCTGTTCCAATTCCTCTATGTTGTTTTTTGGATAATAAACATTTATCATTCATCTTCTTTGAATGATTAGTAAATACCAATCAATATAACATAACCTTAACGTAAATATGTGTCATAAATTCGATCTACTATGTATTTTCCAACGAACAGTAAAATAGACGTATCGGAAGCTCTTTTCTCATAATGAAAGCAAGTAAGAATGAAATGAGTGCTTACTCAATGGATTAAAGAACTACAACGATTCGAATTCCATTTTCCAAATACAAACATTCAATATTATGCTAAGTAATCAAGTTTTACGCCCTCTGATTTAATTTATTTATGTACAGTTTTTCTTTATGTCTGTCCTTAGAAAATGACAATTTATATAATTGAAATCAACTTGAATATTTTAAATTATAAATTTTAAAAAAATAAATCTATTTGAAACTTTTGAATCCAAATAAACAAACGTAAATTAAAATGGCTAAAGTAAATGCCAAAAGAAATATATGAAAGAAATTTTTTTGAGTCCACATAAAAAGTATTGAAATATAAAATTATATGATTAAGTAATTTTATAAAGAAATATTTTAGTAAATGTCTTTTTTTGTGGATACAAACCAAAAACATAAATTACGTTTTATAATTATGACTAGACACCAATGCCCATACTAGTACGGATTCAATATCTGTTATTTTTTTGTCTCACTTCATGTGATATAAATAAAATTTACAACGTCAATTAAATTTTAATATAATTTTTAAATATTTTAAGTTGTTAATTATTGTAATTTTTTAATGTAATTTTTAAATAATATGTGTTACTTCCCTTGTCCCAATATATGTAGCACAAATAGAAATTTAAGAGTCAATCAAATGTTGTTAATTATTGAGATGTACAATACTTTTTATGTAGTTTTAAATTAAATAATACATGTTACTTCTTTTATCCCATTTTATGTGACACAAATAGATTAATTTTATGAATCAATTGAATTTTTTATAAGAAATCGACAAATATTTTAGGTTGTCAATTATCATGTTATGCAATTTTTAAATATATATAAAAAATTAACAATAAGACAAATAAATTAAAATGAAAGAAAAAAGTAGGTAAATATATATGTAAGTGTGAAACCACACAGTCGATACATGCATGTTGACAGTCACCTGTGTGGTTATCCACACTTATATGTAAGTAGTAGTGACCTTCTCATTAGGCCTAGGGGTGTACGTGATTGGGTTATTTCCGTTTTTTAAAATATCACAACAAATTTTTGTGTCAAAATTTTAAATTTATAAACCAAACTAAACTAATAAAACAAGGGGTTTTCAACTTGGATTTTTTTGGGTTGGTTTGGATTTTTCAAATACCAAACCAAATTATTTGTGTCAAATTTTTAAAATTTTAAATCAAAACAAATTAATAAACCTCAGATTTTTTTTGGGTTTTTAAATTTTTCTGATAAAGTATTCATACAAACATATTATTAACTTGTGCTCCAAATATTTTTTTAGTTCAATTAAAATATAACCATCTAAAGTGTTTCTTAAGAAAATAACACAAAATATGAGATGAGCGATGATACTAAAATATTCAATAAAGAATAATATAATAATGAAATCATATAAAATAAATATTGTAAATTAAATTGATAAGTCATAATGAAATTGATCATAATTTAAAAAGTACTTAACCATGCTAAAATAAATCTAAGAAATATTAATTACGTGATTAAACATTAAAGAAAATTTAAAATTAGGCTATATATTTTAAATGTCAAGACCAATGTAAAACTAAAGAACAAATCTTCAACATTAATGTCATTTTTAGTGTTAAATTAATTATCTTGATAGCATTAGTATTGATTTGATTTTGAATTGAGCTTAATTAGAGTTACTAATAACCCTTCGGGGTGGCGCAGTGGTTTGGGCTTTGAACTTCCATGTTGGAGGCCTCAAGTTCAAACTTCTTGCCAGCGAAAGTAAGGGGTTTGCCTTCTGGGTTGATCTCATTGCACCGGACTTGCCTAGTGCGGGTTACCTCTCCTATATGGTTTGCGAGCTATTGCTTAGGAGCGGAGATTTTACCCTGTGCGCACCCAAAGGATAGCAGCTGCGGGTTTCCCTTGTCATCAAAAAAGTTACTAATATCACTTTTATTAGACCATTGAAACTTTCAAGTCTCAAAAAACTTGAAAAAATATGTTAGAAAATAAAAATTATGAAAATATACAAGTAATATATAAAAATTACATCAAAATAAATACTTTTATGTATAAAATAATTTAAAAAATTATATATATATATATAATGCCGAATTGATTTGATCTCGGATTGATTATTTTAGTTAAAACCAAAACAATCCAAATATAGTCTGAGTTTTTTTCCAATACTAAACCAAGTCAAACCAAACCATTAATCAGATTTTTTTTCGATCTAACACAAGTTACAGTTTAATTCGATTTTCGATTCGATTTTATATACCCCTAATCAGACAATAGAATTATCAATGCATTTTGATGTAGTATTACTTATAAAGTGATTGTTTTTTTGTTCATTTATTCACTTTAAATAAAATAATACATTAGAATTATGTTATTTTATAAATTCAGAGGCGTAACCAAGATTAAGAGTTTGAGGGTTCTAAATATTCTTTTAAAAAGAGATAGCGGGGTTCAAAGCTACAATTTTAACGTGAAAAACATTTCCACGGTTTTTTTCTTATAACTACTGCACTGTCTATCAATTTTGTCAGGAGTTCACAAATTAATATACATATACATTTATTTAATTTTCTACTACAAATACAGGGTCCACGAAAAAACTATGGGTTCGTCCAAACTCATGAACCTCCACCTATCTCCACCTCTAATTTTATTATATATATCTTAGTAGATGATATAACATTTAATAAAGTTAAAAAATTGTAGTTACATTCACAATGATGGTAAAATGAAATTTAAGGTAGACCGATATAGTTTTAATTTTTGGTGTTAGTATATTTTGTAAGTATGAAAACAAATGAGGCGTTAGATTGACTGGTAGAATATATATCTTAGTAGATGATATAACATTTAATAAAGTTAAAAAATTGTAGTTACATTCACAATGATGGTAAAATGAAATTTAAGGTAGACCGATATAGTTTTAATTTTTGGTGTTAGTATATTTTGTAAGTATGAAAACAAATGAGGCGTTAGATTGACTGGTAGAATATATTTTTTAAATTATTAAATGTTCTTATATTCTCAAATTTGATATAATTATTATAATATATATTAATTGTCACTTTATTTTCTATTTATATATATATAATTAATACTTGACTTTAGGAGAATATTAAATAAAAATATACTACTATTTATTTAATCTAATTTTTTAAGAACATAAAATTTAAAATTATGACATATAAATAAAAATGGAGAGAGTAATTAATAAAATTTATATTTCATTATATATAAATATAAAATTATAAAGGGAAAATGATAGGCCTATTACTGTAGAATGTTGCGTAAAGCCGTTGGATCAACAGAGTTCTCCAGAAGCCTATCGACATCTCATATATACCTTGCTAAGAAATATCCAGAAAGTTACGGAAATCAAAAAGACACGAAATATCGAGAAAGTACTTGACACTCCTGAGGGACCTTATAAATACCAAACGTCTCCTTCTCCTAGAATCAGTGTAATTCAAAGAAGAAGATTGTGAGAACTACAGTTTAAAAGCTTAATTGAAAATGTCACTAATTCCTAGAATTTTCGGTGATCAACGAAGCAGTAGTAAGTTTGATCCATTCTCAATGGACATGTTTGATTCCTTCAAGGAATTAGGCTTTCCAGTTTCAAATTCAGGGGAGATCTCTGCATTTGCGAACACTCGAGTCGATTGGAAGGAAACTCCAGAAGCTCATGTGTTTAAGGCCGATCTTCCAGGGCTTAAGAAGGAGGAAGTGAAAGTGGAGATCGAAGAAGATAGGGTTCTTCAAATTAGCGGAGAGAGGAACGTGGAGAAGGAAGATAAGAATGATAAGTGGCATCGCGTGGAGCGAAGCAGCGGCAAATTCATGAGAAGATTTAGACTTCCGGAGAATGCAAAGATGGATCAAGTTAAGGCTTCTATGGAGAATGGAGTGCTTACTGTTACTGTTCCAAAGGAACAAGTGAAGAAGCCTGATGTCAAGTCCATTGAGATCTCTGGTTAGACGCTTTGGTTAAAAATATACATTTGTGAATTAAATATTAGTATATGATGTATGGGCAAATAAACAATGGATCATGTCTGTTGAAGATTTGAAGTTGCTCTGTTTTTCTATTTAAGTCTTGAGTCGGCTCTGTTTCTGCTTAATGGCGTAGTTGTACTTTTCCAAATTCCATGTTGAATATCAGAATATGAAATACTAGTCTTTTTATTGAATAATAGTTACTCTATTTCATATTTACGTAACTTCAAAATATAATTATTTAGCAAATCTGAGTTTTTTTTATTATTATTCAAGTAATTTATAAGAGAAAATTTTCATGTAAAATTAAAAAAAAAATTGTCGATACAAATCAAAAACATAAACTTTGCGTAGACCTCTCCATATAAGCTTAGCTTATAAAGACTTTGGAAGAGATCTCGACTTTGGAATTTGAACATCCGATTCACCCGTACATGAATTGCGAGCCCTACGAGCCAGTCCACTTTTTAAAAAATATATTTTTTATAATTTTTAATTTAAATTAGATTAGGATGCGCCGGCCCATGGCCTTTAACGGGCCAGAACAATGGAGTCCATTAAAACATATTTAGGTTTTTGTTGCTTCCTATAAATACACCTGGAAATTCTCTCTTTAAACATAACTCTATTTTTCTTTTCTCTGCCGCAGCAAGGGCTAAACAACAAATTCTTACGTATTTTTTGTTCTATTAAATGCATATTTATATGTCTACTAGATTCATCTTTATTTTTTCTTCAAATTGTTTGTTTTTATTTCTTTGTGGACTATGGTGTGTAAGAATGATGAAGAAATCATTCGGATTCCCACTGATATTTATTCGTGATTACTACAACCAGCTACTTCTGACTTCACATCATAATCCAACCCTTTTTTTAATTTAATTTTTATGTGTTTTTTTATTGATTTGGAATTTGATATTTTGAAAGAAAAATGGCCGGTGATGTAAGTAAATATTTGCTACTCTTGATGGGAATTAATTGAATTTCCATCTGATGATTCTCTATCCACCAAGATCTCTGAGGCCTTGTTCTTAAATCTTTTTTTCTTTCTAAAATAATTTTGAAGTTGCTCTGTTCTTCTATCCAGTGAGTCGTTAAATTGTACCAACAGTATTATATTGTCCTTTTATTCTGTATAAATCTGTCTTATATCGTTCTTATTTCTCTTTTCCACTTCTTAAATGGATCCCAAACGTCTAATAATTATTATTTGCTTCTTGTGATGCTTTACAATACCAAGATTCATCTTATGGTGTGTATTAAATTATCAAATTATTATTTTGGTATTATGATATTTGATATATTATAGTATTTTAATTTTTTAAATATTATGATATATGAATATATATTTCTATAATATTCTAGTAAAGTATGTTAACATAGAGATTCTTTCTGAATTGTGAAGTAATAGTACTTTTATTATATAAGTATATATTAGTCGAAGTTTAACAAATTAGGATTATAGAGAGATATTGAAATTGAACTTTAAAATATTGAATTATACATATATAATGATATAACAATTTTGAATATTGATATTGAAATTTCATATATGATAAAGTTAATTTCGTCTTAAATTTTACCACAATAGATAATCCAAATATTGCTTCAGTTATATTTCTTTCATGTACGATTTTTATTTCCTTAAAAACTTTCAACCTTATACTAACAATCACATGTCACAGCTATAATAATATTATGGAAAAGTTAATTATCTATCCATCTTTCTTTACTATATTTTCTATTATTCTTTATCATTTTAAAATATTATTAAAAATTCTTTTTCCTCCTAAACCAACCTTCGGATACATGATTTCTTATGCCAAAAAACCCACGTTTGTTTCTTTCTTTTTTTACTCGGGGTCTGTTTGGAAAGTCACCTGGTAATTGGAATTGGTGTAATTACTAGGGTAGTAATTAGATTGTCTAGTAATTACATTGACTTGTTTGGTTGTCACAGTGTAATTACACTGTAATTACACATGTCCTGTTTGGATGCCACAGTGTAATTACACATGTTCTGTTTGGATGCACAATTACAATTATAAAATTATAATAAAATTTAAAATAAAAATTAATTATTTAAAATTTATACTAGACAAATAAGAAACTTTATAAATGACATTAAATTAAATATTTAAGATATATATTCTTTTTTGAAAATATATTAATTAATAAACATATTTTCTGTAATTAATATTATGAAAAAATAATTGATTTATATTTTTTCAAATTAATATATTTCAATTGAATTAATCGTAACAACTAAAAGTATGAAGTTTCTACGAACATCGTGAAATGAATGTTTGATAAAAAGAATAATATATAAATAAAATGTCATAAATTATTAAATGTTTGACAAAAATATAATTTATCAACTCTAATTAAAAAATGACGTGCAATGTTGATTCAATATTACTAAAACAAATGAAACTGAAAATATAACATAAGTTATAAATTCAAAACAAAAATTTTAACATAATACTCTTATAACAAATTTCAACATAGCAATAAATATGATTTAGTTTTAGTTTTTCTTAATAAAGAAAAGGTAAGTCTATAACTTACTTAACAATAAATTCTATTTTAATTTAAAATTAGAATATAATAAAATTATGCTAATGGGAAAATAAGCATAGCATAAAGAAATAGATAATACGAAAAAATTACATAGAATGACATAAAGTAAGATTGAGAATAAGAGGAAAATGAAATATAATAATATAAAATAAAATATAAACTTTTACAAATTTTTAGAATAATAAAATTAAAAAAAGAACTTAAAATAATAGAAGTAAAAAAATTTAAACAAAAAAATTAAAATAGAAATTAAAAAAAGAAATTAAAAAGTAATCAGGTGGTAATTACATGGTGTAATTACCAGTAATCACAGCCTTGTGAATTGTAGAGTGTAATTACCCCTGCCAATTACACCAATTACCTGCTGACCAAGTAATTACCTGTCCTTCCAAACAGGACAAGACAGTGTAATTACACCAATTACACCAAATCCAATTAGTAGGATATCCTTCCAAATAGGCCCTCAATCAATTTCTTCCTATTTTTACTTCACAATCGTATCAATACTTTCACAATATTATCAATTCTTAAAACAAATTCAATTTGCTGATTGAATTAATTGATAAGATTGTGGGAGTGAAAATAGGGAGATATTATAAGAGTGAATAAAAAGAAAAGTTAAACATGGATTTGGAATGAGAGTTATATCCGGAGATTAGGGTTAAAAAGAGGATTTTATTAATATTTTTAAATGGTAGAGAATAATAAAAAATATGATATATAAGGATATTTAGATAAATAATTATTCTACTAAAAATCACGATAAACTATGAAATAACTCAATAATATAATATATTTAAATAGCAACAATAAATCATTAAATAACTCAATAATTTTAAATTAATAATATTTTTTGATTCAATTTATTAATTGATTTGATTTTTGCATAATATGTAACCCTCCTTGTAAAGCAAACGAAAGTAACGGGCCCTTATAAATAACAAAGTCCCTAGAAAGTTAAGATGACTTGTATAATTGGGCCTGATGAAGCCCAATTTGCATAGTTCACTTGTGTGATCTGTAATGTGCCCAGCGGGATTTGTCCCGAACTTTCTCGACATCACCTCCTGAAGTATCTACTTGGCTCTAGAAATATCTCATTGATGGTAGAACTTACAAGTATGGAGAAACTGCTAAACACTTCTCTAGGAAGCTATAAATAACTAGCTAATCCTTATCCATCAACCATCAAAAAATTAAAGCAAGTTAACACAAGAACAAACACAGAAAATTCTCAATAGCTCACTGAAAATGTCACTGATCCCAAGAATCTTCGGTGATCGACGAAGCAGCAGCGTGTTCGATCCATTCTCAATTGACGTATTTGATCCATTCAAGGAATTAGGCTTTCCAGTTTCTAATTCAGGGGAGACCTCTGCATTTGCTAACACTCGAATCGATTGGAAGGAAACTCCAGAAGCTCATGTGTTCAAGGCCGATCTTCCAGGGCTTAAGAAGGAGGAAGTGAAAGTGGAGATCGAAGAGGATCGTGTTCTTCAGATCAGCGGAGAGAGGAACGTGGAGAAGGAAGACAAGAACGATACTTGGCATCGGGTGGAGCGAAGCAGCGGGAAATTCATGAGAAGATTCAGACTTCCGGAGAATGCAAAGATGGATCAAGTTAAGGCTTCTATGGAGAACGGAGTGCTCACTGTTACTGTTCCAAAGGAAGAAGTGAAGAAGCCTGATGTCAAGTCCATTGAGATCTCTGGTTGAAATATGTGAATATATTACTACAGTATCCTATGATGTATGGGCAAATAAAAAATAATTTGAATCCGTAGTGTTTGAAGTAGCTCTGTTTCTGTATCAAATGGCGTGGTTGATGTACTTCCTGTAAAATTTCATGTTAAAAATGTAATAGTAGTGTTGTAATAAGTACTATCTTTTTTGTTGTTCAAAACTTGCAGTTAGTCACCTGATAAATTGCCAATTTAATTAATTCATCATCTTCCGGATAGACGTACAGTTTGGTGCCTATGCCACCGTAGGGTTTAGACATATTTGAATCCGCCTCTGTCACCACGGGACTAGACAAGTCTGAATCATTCAGCACGGGGAATAAAAGATAAGGTGTGAAAGTGATGATATGGATGAAAAGATGATCTATCATTGTACTGTTTTGTTCAGTCCACGAGATTTCTGTTTACCCAATGCGGAATAAGCCAAATGCTTGTCAATCCCCAGTTATTGCGTGGCTCTTAACACAAGCAGAAGCACGGACCAGCTTTGCTACTAAGCAAACAACAATTATATATGGTGATCAAATTTCACATGCTGACTTTAGGGAAGATAAAAGTGATTTTCTTAATTTTAAAAAATCAATTAGAATCCAAAATTTAAAATATTTAAATTTTTACTTTGTTATGACCAATATCTTTGAGATGTTATCGTTGTAACCTTTATCTAGCAAATTGAGAAGTAGATTATCTAGCAAATCTTGTGAGATTCAGTCACCCTGTGCACAACTCCTTTTTCTCTTCTGCTTTTCAATAATACCATTATATTTTCAATCATATAGTCGTTGACCAGGTGCAAATATCTTCAATATTCTGAATGATGAGCCTTTTTAAAACTTAGATTTGTTTGTCATAAGATCAAAGATTATAGAAACAAGATAATCGCAGCAATAATACTGGGAACTGTTCCACTGTGAACGCCACGTTATATTATTGCAAGTTTGGTTTTAGCATAAAGTATATACTTTATGCTATTTTTCTGAATTATTAATGATTAGAAAATTTTACTACTACATAAAAGTGTTGAGTCCGACGTTGGTGGAGTGTAGAGTTTGTGGTGATCATTATATGATTTATGATAAAATTTAGAGTTAAGTTAGATTTAAGGTTCATTTACTCCATGATTCCTATTTAAGTCGATTGAGGCAGAATCGCATCAATTCATATTCATTGTTTAGCTGATGTTAGGCTTTAATCCTATTTTAATGCTCTCCAATGTCCAATCCTGAGCGCGAGAGTGCAAAGATAAATCATGACTATAATGATGGAGTGTGGTTTCTTGTTTTTTTTTTTGGCAATTCACGTTGCATAGGACCAATTAGGAGGACCACAGATTTTTTTTCATACTACAATTCTTACTCAATCCACTAGTTTTTGGGATTAACACGTTATGTTAGCCCCAATTTTGTTTTATTTTTTCAAAGAAATTCAAAGAAAAAAAAAGTTCTTTCATTATTGAGACATTCTTTGAATATCAACTTATGTTTAAAGACCATAACTTTTACTTAGATAGTGTGGGACAATTCTGACATTAAAAGCAAATGCTGTGTTGCTTTTTACTTCACTCAAACAATTCAATCATAACATCAACTTATGCTTAAAAGAACAGTTTACCATTGTTTGATTCTCTATTAATTCCCACTTTTACGTTAAACTATTTTGCCTATTCATTTTCATAGCAAAGTAGAGTTGGCATTTGGCCTTTATGAGGGGGTGGGGTGGTTGAGGTGGGGTTACAGTTTCTGTTCCCAATATTCTGCAAGGACTAAGAAATAGATTTAAAAGAATATTTTTATTCTTGTAGTGTATATATTTAATTTAGATTATTTCCAAATAAATATGCATATATAATCCAAACTGAAAACAATTAATTCCCTTGATTTCACTAACATATTTGTATCTGCCAACCCTACATCATTATCCCAATAAAAACACCACGAAAGAGCATGGAGAAATAAATAGGATTGTTCTATTTTTAATTAGAAATTTCATATTTAATCCTGAAAATAGAGAAATGTTAAGTTAAAAAATGTTTCTCCCTTATTTCAAAAATTAGTCTTATGATACGAGGATTATGCAAAGATCATATCAGTTTCTAAGGATATGAAACTTTATACTTTGAACAAAAAATCTAAGATTGAATATCAAGAATCAATAATGTAATATGGGAGCAAGACATATACCTAACATGAATTAGGATAAATTTAGTTATAAGATCATAATTAAAAAAAAATATTAAATTCAACTCAATTTCAAAAGTTAACTACTCCAATATTCTTTGTTCTAAAATAAGTTATGCTTTAGCTTGAGCACATCTTACTCATTCTTAGATAACCAATTTAGAGAATTAACTCGGTTATTAATGATTTTTGATTAAGTAAATAAAAGTAAAATTTTAAAAGAATAAGATCAATTATTTTATTTTCAAAATAAACATAGTAAAATACTCCCTCCCTTAAAAACAATTACATATTTTCCTTTTTAGTCTGTCTCAAAAAAATAATTCTTTTTCCTTTTTAACAATAATTTAATTTTCAACTTTTCATGTGATATATTTAACCCAAACATTTAATATATTTAACATAATTTTAATTTAATATCACAAAATTAAATTTTTATTTATTTAAATTTTATATTAAGTTCAGCTAGATCATTTTCATTTTAAACGGATGGAGTAACACACAAGAATATTGCAAAATTAATTAAATAAGTATAGAGATTAATTGGGTGAATGAATTCTGAATGTCGAAAATATTTTTAAAAAAAACAAAAACTAATAAGCTATCCCAATAAATGAGCAGTCAGTCATTAACTATGTGTAGTCATCGAAAGAGCGCCCCTACCAGCCCGTGACCCACGTATTCTTCTTCCTTCCGCCTGGAGAAAAAAAAAAGTGCAGCTCACTACATCTCTTTTCACTTTATTTACCTTTTTTTCTCTGTCTACTTCATCAATTTCGTACTCAAATATAAGATGATTTTGTCATTTCTTTCTTTCTGAGCTAATTCTCTGTTTTATCTTCTTTGTTACTTGTAATTATTGGTTTCACCGCCACCTTATACAACCCATCAATCCACAGAAAGTATTTACCGCTGCTTCATTTTTTTTCCTATGACTTGTTTGATTCTGCTCCTAATTTTCGAGCGGTTGTTGAGTTAGGTATGTACCTTAATCTCTTTCTTTAAATGTTTCTCTGTTGGATATGACTGTTTGATTTTCTGTCATTTTCACTTGTTAATTCTTGTCATTATATATAAATTATTGTTCACTTTTAATAACATAATTTCTGTAATCACTTATTTATAGATGCATCATGCATCATTAATTTTAGAAAGAACCCCATTGAAGGGGGCCTTGCAGTAACAGTAAATTTATTTCTGTGTGACTTGTGGGTCACGGGTTCGAGTTGTAGAAGCAGCCATAACACTCCTTGGGTGGTGTGGCTCTTTCCCGGACCCTGCAGGATGTCGGTGCCTGCCCTTTTTGCCCAACTGCTCCTTGTATGTTAAAATTGAAATTTTGAGTTAATTTTTGGTTAGAGACAGAAAGTGAGTGGTTTATGGCAATTGGCAAAACAAACTCCACCGACAGTGCTCTTCTTTGTTCTATAATTTTCCCAATTTTACTTTCTCAGGATCAACTTAAAAATTGATCAATGTTTATACTTAGAAAAATGGAGTGTTGGACGATGTGGGGTTAGTTATGTTTATGTCTTTAACGATAATTCGAATTAAGTTTATTATGAGTGTGATTGGGATCTTTTATAATTGTAATCTATAGATTAATTAAACTATTAATTAAAAAATATTTGTTGAAACACATTCATCAGGAAAAAGTAAGGAATAGGATTAATGAAGCACATCCATTATTGAATCAAGCCGATTTGATAGCACTAAAATAAAGAAATTTCACTTTCCAAAAGTGTGACATAACTTTTAAGAGAAATAGGTGGAGTAGAAGTTAAAGGTATAAAGTAAATCAAGTCCTGTTTTTAAGGAATAGTGTGTTGAGCTTTCTGATTCTACTTGGTTGTCAGGGTCATGTATTCATAATTAGCCAAGTGAGAATAGGGAAATGAAGGCAGCCAAGGGTGTGGCCGAGTGATCATGTATCTGTCTAATTCTTGTCTTTTTGGTGGTCAGAGTTATACGGTAGTTGTGTTGGTGGTAGGTAAAAGGTACCTCTCGGAATAGTCGAGGTGTGTACAAGCTGACGCAGCTATCACCGTTACTTAAAAAAATGAATATGGCACAAAATGATGTAAGCAAGGAATCTATTATTTCCTTGTCTGCAGATATAAGAGACAACCCATGTTGAGAGATACAAACAACAAACTTTTTGAGTTGTTGTAGTTCATAAAATAACTTTTATACCCATCTCTTTCAACTTTTTTATCTTTGTTATGAGAGGAACCATGAGTCCTATGTTCATTGTATAACACCTAATTCCTCGCTACTGACGTCTAATTATGTAATTATTATTAGTGAAACGACTCCATGAAGAGGAACACTGCATCTTTAAAACTCATCATGTGTAATTATTTCTGCCTTTTTTACTTTATGTTTATGATTACACTATAATCTACTGCAACTTGCATCAAAAGTGGCTAAACATGTGAATAATCTCTTGTGTTTGCTTGTTTACCTCTGCCAGGGGTTCGGGAATTCATGCACGGTGTAGCAAATGGAAAGGCAGCCTAAGCAGAATGGTGAAAGAAAGAGAATCGAGAATGAGGAGCTTGTTAAATACATGTCAAGGTTGCCTAGTTATCTGGAAAAGGGGGAAAATCTACAGGACAAAGCTTTCAGTGTCGGCGTCCTAGATTGGCGTTTTCTTGAAAAATGGCGACACGAACATGTAAATGTACCTTGTAGAAGTAGTGTGTGTTCACCATCAAGCAGCAATACTTTGTCAGTTTCCTCAATGGAGGGATCTTCATCCAATTCTAGTAGAGCCCGAAGCTGCTCCCCTGCCCATCGAAGGATTCATCGTCCTACATCACAATCATATTATGCATCACCGCCTAAAGGCACTCATCCTGATGTCAAATCAGGAAGTTGTGGACACTTGAAGAACATAAAACCAGGAGCAGCTAAATTTCTTCACGAGAATCAACAAATAAATCTTCTAGAACTCAGCAAAGATCAACACCCACGGAGGGCTT